CTGCATTTTCATGCATTTAAACGTGTTATTTCTCCTCACTGTTAACATTAAGCAGTACGGTGATGTGTCACGCGGCTGAAATGAGCAGCATCTTCAGAGGAAGAGGTGAATCTTTTTCCAGTCCCCTGGTTCAGTCTCCAGATACTTACTTGTCCTTATCCGGTAAAAGGCCCAGTTCTGAAAATCCTTGACCATGAGAGTTTGCATCCTAGGTTCATTCGAGTTTGTCCTTAGATACCTTGGTACAACCTCCTAGAGTAAATGACCCAAGGAAGAAGAAGATGCAATGCGGGTAGGGCAGTGGTTTTTACCTCCCTTTCTTTCATGGCATATAATTACAAGTCACCTTTTCACACAGTTCCTTCCTTGTTCATGCGTAATTTGGAGGGCTTCTGTATGTGCGGATCCCGGGACAGACTTTAAAGTCACTCCGTGACAAGTGGGCAAGTGTCCATATGTACTCAGCTCAAATGTGAAGTCACCTGTTGTGACCAGGGTAGCTGGGAGTTCAGATGCGCAAGCATTCCCTTGTGAAATTAGGGGAGTACAAAGGCATGCAGCAATGGTATGCAGAAATTTGAGGGTAGTGTTGGAAAATCTGGCCTCCAGTATCTTTTCAAATCATCCAGTAAAAAGGAGTCTATGATTTTTGGAGATTTTTTACTGAAAAGCTAAATTTTATGAATCTCCAGTCTAAAGTCTGCTCGTATAACTGATATGCTTTTTTTTTTTCTGCCTAAGAATTTCCCTTGCATACACAGCAGAAAAACAAACAAACACAATTCTCTGTTACTTCCCTAAAAACCATAGTCCTCTTTCCTAGCAAGATTAACTTGTCAACTAATCTTAGAGCAAACACTTTATTTTAATCTATCATTGTTTTCTGACTGTGGGTTTAGCAGAGGTCAGAAAAGAGTTTCATTAAAGTGATTGCGCATTTGTTTTTCGGAAAGCACATCAGAAGATTAATGCTTTGCCAAAGAAAATAAAGAAATACAGTATTTCTTTTAATACACTTCAGCTAAACAAAGTCTTAAAATGACATGCCTTGGCCCAGATGGGGTGTTTGCAGCATAAGATACAAGTCATATAATTTCTACTACCTGAAAACTGCTTAAATGAGCTTTACTTCAGCCATGCCATTTATTCCACACCTGAGGTGAAGTAACTCTGGTCCCTTCTCTGATGTAGAGCCATATGAGTGCTGACTGCCAGTGTGTTTGTGCAAGTCTGTTTGCTTATATAAAGAACCCATTTAAGCTTCTCCACCCAAGAAATTAATGTTGATTTTGGATAATCCCTGGGCGATTTTATTCTGTAAAATAAATAAATAAATCTTCCAAACCTGTGACGCAGCCCAGCTCTCACATATTTTGGGCTATTAGAAGTGTAGCATTTGTGTTGGGGAATCACGAACTGACACAACGCATGGGCAATTTTGTATTTGTCCAGAAGAAAAATAGGGTGCGTATTTCAATATAGGCTTATGTGACATTGGATTTTCACCTGACAAGGGTGCAGGGTCAGCCTGTGATGAGGAGAGTTTTGAGTGTGGATCGCCAGACCCTACACTGCACGCTCATTCTCCAGTGTGGCTTCTCTAGGAGTAGTGCCAATGTGATTTGGCTTGGCAAGAAACCAGTATTTCAGAAGAAAAGAGAAAGTCATATTGAACAGCTGAAACAAGTCTCTGGGGTCAGCATTGGCTGTCAGGGCTCGCTTTCAGTCTTAGAAAGATCGTATGTGTATGGGGCCAGTAGACATGGGAATCTAAGCGTCCTTGCTCTGAGTGGTGCTGAGCAGGGTTGCGCTGAGGATGCTTTGGCGCAGTGCAGCAGAATGGGTCTCTGTGATCATCAGTCATAACTAACCCATCTGATTAAAAATCGCTTCTGCAAGGTCTGCTCTGCTGTCCCCTGCTCCCTTAAGAAAGCACTAGTGCACAGGCTTGAGTTGGGTATGCTGAAGCCCTAAACTGAAGTCTGGGTGAATGAGGACAAAGCCCTTATTTTCACTCTACGCTTAATCCCCACCTGTATGATGCATGTCCTTCTTCAGCGTTCTTGCTTTGGCAACAAAACTGGTTCTGAATAGGCACATCTCTCCTGAAATCAGTAATAGCTATGAATGTTGCCCTGAATCTCTATGCTGCTATTTATTAGGTTACTAAATATTAAATTAGGTATCTAATGTCTTAAATAACTGAAATAATTAACAATATTTGTCTAACATAGTTATCTACCTTAACTTGGAAAATGTTGAGACTGGGCTAGGCTGTCTGTGCTGTATTGTTTATTAATTGCATTGCAACAATGGTCAGCATCTCTTGCAGCAGATGTTGAATTCATGTAGTGAAAAGCAGCTGTTAATCTCATGAGACTGAACAACACAAATAAAACTTTGTTTTGTTTCCTGCTTGGTTTCTGGGGTCTTGTGAACCATGAGAAGTTCTCTAGAAGATTTATGCACGTACTTTACCTCCTTTTCTCTTGCTCTAACCTGGAAATAAGCTGAAATTCTTTTAAAATCACTTATTTTCAAGAACTAAAGCTATGAATGGAATGTCAAACATTAAAAGACGTGCTGATAAATCACTGGAGATGGCAGTGCCCGAGTAAAACAGTGTGTAAATGATAGCAAGTGTTTACAAGGGAAAATTGACCTGCTCAACCCAACGCATGGTAACATACATATACTCAACATAACATACTCTTTCACTTGTTGCCATCATATTTCTAGTATTCTCTGTTTTATGTGTGTTATATATACCCTTAATTAGACTTGCAATGTAGACAGCCTACTCCTGCATGAGGTTAAGCTGCTGTGTAAATAGATAAAAAGTAATAAAAGTAGGAAAGACAGCTTTTGCTTAAAATAGAAATTAAGTTTAAAACCAACATTTTGGCCTTAGGCTTTTATTTAGGGTTTTGGAAAACAGAACAAGCTCTTTGGTTTCCATTACTTGCAGAAAGCATAATAGGCATAATATTACTTCTCATCTAATTTTGCATTACTTGAGTGTGTTTTAGTAAACCCCTTTTTCATTTAGAGTGAACTACTATAAATTATGCTGGGATATGATCATTGGTAGTTTTAGTAGAAATATTAGTTTAACTGAAGAACTTCTTTATTGTGACCTCTGTGGTAATAGCTTAAGCTCAGAAAAAAGGCATCAGAACATATGCTTTAGCGATTATTTTTCTTCAAAAGATTATGTTTCGTACAGATGATGAAAAAAGGCAATATAGTGCCAGCCCACTTAGGCTACCAATTAGTACTATCACTGTCGACCCCCCCAATAACTTCACTACAGTAGCATTAGTAATTTTTAGCATTTGAGGTTACTGGCCAATTGCCATCAAATTTACCACATGCATATTAAAAAACCAGTCAACCTTTATAATTTTATGAACTATGTTCACGGACAGAGGCTGAAAGACTACTGTTATCACTTTCTCCAAGCGGGCACAGAACCAAGTACATCTGATATGAGTCTATACTGCTAGCTAACTTTTTGTTACAGAAGTTTTTCAGTGCCTTTCAGTCTCTTTAATGTATGTATCTTTACAGTGTCTCTGTCTGATGGATACTTAACCTCCACATCTATTTTTCACATAGGGAACTGATGCAGAGGACATAAAAAGAAACCAAGTGGGAAGTTAAACACCTAATACTTGGTGGGCTGGTTCGGGCTGTGTTGTGTGCTACCTCTGTTAGCTGGTCCTGAATTGTTCGAGGTGGGTGGCTTTTGCCAGGAACCTATATGCTGCCTGCAGGACCATGGCTCAGTAATGAGCCAGTCCCCATCGTGTGCCTGAACCTTGCTGCAATGAGATTTGGCTTATTCCAAACTAAAGCTGCATTGCAGGTAAACGTGTAAGGAGTGTAAAAGATCAGGGGTTTAAACTGGAGTATGAAAATGATCCCTGAGATAATAGCACGGATTTAAGAGAATAAGTAATATTAGTACCAGTACATCTCTTTCAGATAAGCTATAGGCATTTGTTCCTTCATGCTTTCTGCCTCTTTTCTTTCATTCTTTTTCTTCTTACAGTCTTTTCCATCAAGTAGTCCAGCTTAACTTGGAGTGGTGCATCCTTAATCTGGCTTTTAGTTTAGTGGGTAGAGCACTTTTCTAGCAGATGAAAGAGCTGTGAACCCCCCCTTCAATTAGAGAACTTGAGAGCCATGTCACCCACCTCATGAGCAAGAGTTAAAGATGCCCAAATTGCCTGTAAATTGTTACAGGCAGCCTTGTCTTATTGACTGGCCAGGAAACGAGTAGCAAAGTCCTCATCGTAAGTGATTGCCCAAGCTCCTTTAGGATGTCCTTGGCAAAACAGGAATGAAATTGCACAATAGCCTAGAACCACAAAGCTCTAACTTGATCTTGCTTTTTGTAGCTGGATTGACAATGATAAGAACCTGCGTAAATAGCGGTAGTTTGTAAGTGCTAGTGTTCCATGTTGACACATACGAATTTCATATTTTTCCTCATTCCATTGGACTTTTTCATGCATCTTTATTTTAAGACAGGAGGTTTTGCTATCTGAAGATTCTTAGTGCATGACAACATATATGATGGTTTGTCTTGAGTGAAGGGACTCTTGTTCCTGGCCAGTAATGCTATTGTAGGTCCTGATCTCTCAGTGTAAAGTTGGATTGATTTAAACTGATCCATTGCCTTGAGTTTGGTCTTGTGCTGAACAAAGGGGAGCACAATGCTAGATGATGTGCCATCAAGTTCCTGTGTTTCTTTATCCTTCCCTGGTTCCCCAGCTACACATAAAGTTTCATATCCTGTACATGTGATTCATCAGTCTATATTTACCAGTGGTGGTAATTTAAAATTAAATTTTTAGGTTTGTTTTTTGTTTTGTTTTGTTTTGGTTTTTAATTGAAAAGTTTATTTATGTCAGAGTTTCCCAAAGAAGTGAAAAAAAAAGGTACTTGAAATTTCTATTACTAAAACAAAGGACTTCTTTTCTTTTATGTTTCAGACACAGATATTAAGGAGCTAGAGGATGTTTTTGGACTTAACGGACAAGTAGAGCATAAGCTGAACTTCCTCAAAAAGAATGTATCAAAAGATATAAAGCTGGTACTGATTGCTCATTCTATTGGTTGCTACATCACACTGGAGATGATGAAGCGAGCATCAGAACTTCAGGTACATTAACCTTATAGAATGGGAGTTGTTAATAGCAAAGCAGCGCACATGCTTAGCCTGTGGGTAATGCCATGTCTTTCCTGTGGAAGCTCTATTCTGCTATACACAAACTTTCAACTAAAATGAAATAAAAACATTAATAACTAATCCTAATGACAGATAATAAAGTAGTTTGATGGAAAATAAAGTTCTTACTCTGAATTTGGACCTTTAAATGCTCTTGTAATATACATGATTAATAATGGTGATAAATACATTTAGGACTTTGTTGTCTTCTCATCTCTAAATAATGTATAAAAAGATCACTAGATATTTGGCTATTACATTATGTTACTACACCAAAAATTAAGACTGGTTATGACTGTAACAGCAGCTTCTTATCTCAAGGCAAGGAGATTGCTGGCTATACATGGGGAAATGTATGGAAAAGAATAGGTACATAAATTGTGAGGTGTACTACAATGAAGGATGTTGGTTTTAAAATTTAATACATATGCATATATCATTGCTTCTGCAACTTAGTCTTGGTTTGTGTAACGTGATGAGAGTGGGAGGTGTTACTGCATGTTCTTGTGTATCTGAACATTTTTGTTTGTCACTGTGGAGCAGTAAGAAGGCTGAGGCAGGACAGTGTCCTTGCAACTCTGGAAATGGCAAACTGTTAGTGCTCAGTAATAACTCACTCTACTAATGGATGATGAATGAAGAATATTGAATTTTTATTCTTAAACATTCACTCTTGCTAAATAATTGCTTCTTCCTTTACATTATAAAATCCTCAGTGGAAGGAAGTGCAGTGTTAGCATGTGTGTTTAATATATGCATGAGTAGGTTCTTCCACTTCTTCATAACCATTTCCACTGCACGTCTAACTTCTTTTTTTCCTTTAAAGGAAACACCAACTAAAAACGTGAAACGTGAGGTTAACCTGATATATTTCCACAGGCATATTTCACTTTGTGATTATAAACAAGGGCACGTTTTTTGAGCGAACTTTTATTACTGTTTTATCTTTTCAAGAGGGAGTGTTCTAGAAAATATTGTACGCAGTAATTTGTCCAAAAATACCAACTTTCTTTGGTCAACATCTGTGCAGTCTTTATTACACAAATGATTTTATCTGGTTTCAATTAAACTATGAATTGTTGAGCAATTTTTTTACACCTGGCTCACTGGATACTGGCAGCATGCTATTCATCAATATTTTGAAACGTAGGTATCTTTGGGACACTCTTAGACTGCATGGTGCACTGTGTGCTTGAAGTTAATATATGACAAGCTACATTTAAGATGCATTTAACAATAGAAAATATTTGTGTAAGCCAGAGTGTTGTGCAACCTTTGTCCCTTTGCCAAAAATAAGTTAACTGTTAGCTTTTATAACATATGAAGTGTGATAATAAGAAACTTGTGTTTCCATCTCTCCCTTTATTTTTACTGGAATATTTGATTCCCACAAGATTTTGAGCACATATGTGTATTTTAGTAGCTAGATCATTTGATTTTATTTTTGTGTAGTTCTTATGTGGTATTCTTTTATTACATGAGTTTTGGTTTTGGTCTTAAATTCTCTGCTTTAAGAGCCTTTGATTGCTTACAGTTTATTATTCTGAGCTAGAGGTTAATGTGTTGTATTTATTGTTCAAATAATTCAGTAAATATTTATATTTGGAGTGTATGTTTAGCAGATTTGATTTTTGTTACACAATTTAAAGCCCTTTCATAATCTAACCAAATATAGACTAGATTGTCCCTCTCTCATGCAATGATGAGGGAACCTGATGAACTTGAGCTAGGATGCATGAAAAGGAGAAAGTGCTATCTCCTTATCTCTCCTTCTTGGTTGCTCTTCAGCTGTCGGTTTTGAATGCTGCTAATTTCTTGGGCCCTTGTGCTCTGCAGGTTAATGGGGTACTGTGGGGTTTTTTCTTAAACTTCTGTGAAATAATGCTTTCTTATTTCATTAAAAGAGAAATGAAATGGGATTTGCCAGTTTACCCCAGGATAAATTCAGTTTTGGACCCCATCCCTATTTTCCTGTTGACTCACAGAGAGGGTTCTGTTAACGGTTTCTTCAGGAGACCCCTTAACACAAACTTAGTCTTAGGTTGATGCCTTTAACTAAGTCTGGTTAGTAGAGAAGGACCACACAGGTTACATCCATACTTGGAACTAAGTGGGGCTACTGCATGGATTTGAGTACTGGGCCAGCTCTGCAGTGACGTTTTTGGACTAGTCTTTAAGAGACTTTTTGGCCCAAAGCAGCCAGCAACTCCCAGACAACACCCTGGCATGGTTCTGGGCTTGGCAGAGGCCCAGGACCGCTCCCGGTATTTAGTTTGGATGCAGACATCCTGTTTTGAGGCAGGGGATATGCAGCCATGTGGTCGCAGACCATCCCATGCCATCCTGTTCAGTGGCAGGACCAGGGAATAGTTCCTGGCTGGTCTGTTTGCTGGTGCATGTGTAACCGTGAATACTTCTCAGTTGTCTTAACTGAAGTGTCTTAACAAGATTTGCCTCTTCCTGGGAAGTGGAGCATCAAGAGTTTGTCAGACTGCTAAAAAATTTTGACACTGGGAAGGAAAAACATTAATCAGCCTGTTGTGTGGAGATGGAAAAATGCAATAATGTACAGCTTACTGGTACCTGGTCTTAACCTCATAATCTTCACTCTTCGTTCAGCCAGCAGAACTGAAGAATGAAGCTGAGTGACAAAATTATTTTCTCAGTTGTTGGAGCTTGAGCCTAACTCAAAAATACGCTACATCCTCCAGGCATTCTCTTCTAAAATACAAATCCTTACTTGGAGGATTTCCTTGTGCTTTGCTGGCGACACTACTGAGTCTTTCCTAAAACAGTCTGATCATTAATTTAATCAAAAGATTGACATATTTCCTCGCTAATGAAATTCAATCTGTTACAGCATTAGCCTCTCATTTGCAATGATGCTTTTGAAATGCCAGCTTTTGAAATGCCAGCACCTTTGTGGTAATAAATTAACATTTACTAATGAATGAAACCATCATAGAAAGTAAGTATCGCTCTTAATGTAAGTCATTGAGGAGGAAGAGTTTAAAACCTCTGAGTATGTATCAGTTTAAGCAAATAAAATTTTTGTAATATATAATTCAAAACCATGCATTGCTACTGTGTCTCAGCAGTGCCAAAGATTATTGGGTATTGCTGGAACTTAGCTGATTTTATAAATAATAGCTAACAAAACATAAGTTGGAATAGCTGTGCATAAAACAAGTTCACACCTTGGAAACCCTGTCACATCATTTCTGTGCATATGTTTGTGTGCATCTGCCTTATCTTTCCTTCACTGTGTTCTCTTCCAGACAGAAATCTGCTGGTCTGTACTTTCTTTCGAGAAATGTGATGAGCGTAACAAAATAGCATAGTTTGCATTTAACGATTCCACAAATTTATACAGTAGCATAACCATGTTTTTTCTTTTGTCTGCATATGAATTGCATTCAGGTCTTTCACTTGAGGAGCTACAACTTGTTCAGGATCTAGTAATGTACGTAGCTTAGAAGGTTTCTGCAATGTGTCTTATTCTTCATAAATCAGTACTGACTTTCACCCATCAGGAGGCTGTCTACTAACCAAGCTTTCTTGAGTTAAGCAAACATTTCTTCATTGCTGACTATTCTAAATTATTTTATAATGTATAAAATGTTGGTGCTATTCATTCCCTTTTGCAAATAAATTAAACATGCCTAACAGGAAGTATCAGGTATTTTTTGTTAACCTTTTGAACTGCTGAAATTGGCTATATATTCCTGCGGTTGGTTTTCTATCTGTTTAGCCAGTTTCTAATCCATATGAAAATGTTTCTCTCACCCATTATTAGTATTATTAGTGGTCACAGGGATTGAATGACCTCAGTGGAAGCGTTTTGTTGGAGCTTTTTGAATACAGGTATTTTAGGTGATGCTCCTATATGTGTATGGTAGCTTTATTTCTTTCTTCATTTTTAAATTTTTCAAAATATTTAGTTAAAAAAGTGAAGGAGCTTTCACGTATATATTCTTGTTGTTACTTCTGATGTTAGAAAAAGCCAGAAATATATTTTATCATTCTTTTTTAAATTTAGCTGATAATAGATCAGTCTTGATTTTCTGTCATTCCAAAGTTTCTGCTGTTGCATTGTTAGTAGTGGAGCCTTTTATTACCCTTAGTTCTCCCCTAAATCACACATTTAGCGTAACATATGTAGTCCTCATTTTGTGGTTTCATACTTCAACCAAAAGGCCATGTTCCATCTGTTGTGAACAGCTTGCTTGGAAACATTGATGGCCTACAGGTACACAACAGAATGACAGATGTCACGACTGTTAGCTTTTTTTTTTCCTATTTTCTAGAAATGTGCTTCTTCCCGACTACCTGCAGCCCTTTGCAACACATCTTAGTAGGAGAAGACATCTCTGCACATGGCCCTTCTGACAAAGACATTGATTGGGATATGAAATTTCAGAAGCGCTCTTCTCTTTGCCATCTCTTGGCCAGGGAGGGGTGTTTTTTCAAGGATGTGTGAGAAATTACCTGTATATATAGAACTAGTTTGTTTTAAAAGAAGCTTTACTAAAGCAGTGAAAAATGGCAAGATAGTTTGCATTGCAGTGCATCTTTGTATGCAACATAAAATGCAATAAATAATTATTCACTTACAGAAGAAATGAAAGAAGTCTCTCTTAACAATGTGTGAACGTCTATCCATAAACAGAATATGAAGTTTAAAGCAAATTAGCTATTCCTGAATAAGTCATGTAAAGCATTCTGATTCTAAACCAAATGTCTTTTCCTGATATAGTTTAATCTCTTTTCAAAATAGCTTAAGATAATAGTTTTGAATATATTCTAGATTCATTCTGGACAAAAGTGTTCACACATGAAGCTATTCAGGAATATTTCCATGTTTAGATATTCTTTACTCAGGCTTTAATTTATCAAGTCTATTGGTCAACATCAGTTCTGTAAGCTATCAGAGC